CAAGCAAACAAACAAACGCCCCAAACTCCTCAGCCTTCCTCCTTTCAAATTACCAAATGAAAGCAAAAACCCAGGAGTACCCTTTTTCTTGTATTATAGAATGCATACCCTGTATGACAGTGAATGCTGGTGTATCACTCTATACTGAACTGACTGATTAGAAAAGGTCAAACTCCAAGCATGTTGTCTGGTTCACAGAAACAAGCATAGTAGAAATATGTCTGTAATATTTTGCAAACCATTAAGTCCCATCTTAAAAAGGCATTTTGATCCAGGTGAAAATAGAAAACTTGTTTCCCATCATTAATGACAAAGCAGAGCTTCCCTACTTCACAGCCGCATGTATTCACTCCATACTAGGAAAGTACTTGCTCAGAAAAAAGGAAATTCTAACTACTGATTCAGAATTTGCAGCTGGGTTTTGTAAATGAGCTTTGATAGTTTTTTCTTGATGAACTCCAAGTGCTGTTCAGTCAGAAACGGGGTGAAAAAGTGTCTGCCAAACTGTCTTTTTAATGGGAGAAGAAACATGCTACTTTTGCATGAACAAACTGTGCCCAGCTGCCATCCTCAGATGGGGGCAGAAAACGAGGAGGGCAAAAGTTGTGTTATTTATCCTTGTCTTTAAACTGTTCTCTCTTCTGCCCAAAAGCACAGCTAGTAAGAGGCCCAGGCAACACAGATCCGACTTCTAAATGCTTCATGAATCACCAGTTCTGACAGGTCACTTGATTTATTGTCTTAAGAGTCTAAGCCAAAGAACTGGGTGAAATCTTGGTTTCACAGTCCCTGATGCACTGCTGACAGAGCAAGTGACCTTGGGTTCAAGTCACTTGATCTCGTCGTCTCTTAGTCATCCCAGCTGGAGACTGGGTGAAAACAGTCTTCCAGCCATACTAAGTTTCCTCTGTGTATGGACTTGTACCTATGCTTTTATTTTCTCTGCTATTACCAAATGCATGCCAGGACAGCGGCACAGAGTAACACCAAACACTCTCTTAGCACCGTATGAACTCACATTGCTTTTACAATTGCTTTTATATGAAGCTAAAACAAGAGCTCCTCATCCTGTCCTCTTTTCCTTATTTACTCATCATCATGAAACAGAAATTCTAGCAAACAGCTCCACACAACTTACGTTATTATTTTCTATTTATGTCCAACTGTTAGAGGAGCTCTGCTGGACAGTCCTTTATCATTGTAGTACGTTCTCCTACAGCAAAGCAGGTTTTTCACTATGCTCCACACCATGTCAGTTTGCCTCTCCCCATCCTTATAGAACTGGAGAAAGTCACTTCAATCATCCAATCCATACCCAAACACCCAAATAACATCTGTACCTAGGGTTTGCACAGTCTCCTCACTCTGCTGGACTTGCTGTGACATCATCCTGCTAATGCCCATCAGGCTCTCCGTGATGTTACTTGCACTCTCTGCCAGACTTTCCTTTGTAGTCTTCCTGAAAAAGAAAGGGAAAAAGTAAAGCAGGAAGGGATAAAATTATGTCTTTGGGTACTGAGGGGAAAATGCTGCTGCCAGGGAGCTTAGATCAGAGCTTAGCACCAAACATCTCTGCCGATGTACAAAAGACACAAGTAGTTTTTACTGCATGAGAAATTCAGGTTATCTTCACTAAATAATCAAAAAAAATGATCACAAAATATTAAAGTCATGAGCCAAAACAACTGTTAGTGGCTCAGAATCTCACGGGGGCCCGTATTTCACCACTTATTCATCCACGACTGTACAACTTCATGAGCTGGTATGGAAGCACTGATACAAACTACCACTTTATTATCCTGGATATCCCATTTGTTGCTTCATGATACTAAATACAGCAACTTTTCAATACAGAAATTATTTAAGCTTGCATCCACTTTTGCATGTGAAAACAGCTTGCATAATGATCCATTACTTGTTTATAACCCTGATTGGAATTAATGTAAAAGACAGTCAGAAAAACTATGAAGGTGAACTTATCCCCTTTTCCGTTTAGACATGCCAATGCCAAGAAAACCTGAAATTATCACAATCCTTAGTTTATATCACTAAAATGATTTAAATCATAATCGTCAGTTTAAATCTCCACAGAAGGTAAATGCACTCATAAAAGCTATGTTCCAGATACAATTAAATAACTTATAAACATGATATCAATTTAATTTAAAACTAGTGACTATAGCATATGCTGTTTAAACCTCAGATGGTACAGTGGGATGATCTAATACCTTTGTCTTAAGGAGTCTCCTCCCTGCAGCAGTTGATCTTTCTCAGAGTTGTCGATAGCGATTTTGCAAGCTAGATTTGCCTTTCTCCAAGCTGCCTGATTGCTGAAATCACAAGAGTACAATGTTGTGACACGATGGGAACACCTTGCAAGCAGAAACAATTTTCACAAAGCAATCACCGCTGTAACTAAGCACCCTGGATAGGTGCTTGGACTTTCCCTATATTACATCACAGAATAACAATATACCATCCTATCATTTCCTCTCCTAAGTGTATCGTTTATGGAGCAAGGGAAGAAGAAAACTGTGCCAGCTGTCAAAAGACAGACCCTCAAGCCACCTCCTTACATGCTCAACCGCTCAAAGGGACAGAACATGGTTAGAGAGTCAGGACAGGAGAGAAGAAAGGAGAAGGGAGTCCTACCCTTTCCATCCCTGATCCTCTTTCAGTCTTGGGCAAAACAGCATCATGTCAGCAACTGTATTTGCAAAACAGGATCCGAAAGACGCTGTACAGAAGTCAGATTATCTCTGGTTACAGGGCAGCACCGGCTGCCCGACCCACCTGAGCATTTGTTTCTTATGGTTTTCCACTTCCCGCAGTAAGGCTTGTTTCTCCGACTCTTTATCTTGCTCCTTCGCCATCTGTTCGAGCTCCTTTGGCAGAAAGTAGAAACATGAAAATCTGACCAACAACCGCTGCCACCTGCAACTCGCACAGCCCACCCCCGGCCAGGGAGTGAACCGACAGCTGACTGAGGCCATAAGCTACCACCCCACAGTCGGCACCCCCCACCGCCCGCAGGCAGCCCGAGGGCAGGCCGCACGGTGCGGGCCGGG